GTAACAGGGGAATACTGTAGATGAGGACACGCATGATGGAAGGTCAGCAGTCGAAATATTGAATCCCGACACGATGGCGTGCATTACGATACTTGGAGTACGTAATGTACTATCTTATCTGAGATTAATCAGTGGATAAAAAAGATTTTTAAAGTAAATTTTTCGTTGTGAATTTACTTTTAACACTTGTCAAAAAGACTAATGAAGGGAGTGAAAAAGGACCAGACTGAGACTGTTCTATCAATGGATTTAATAATACAAGCTCACTTCTCATAACATCATGCACCATATCATTGGTTTTTACAACATAAATAATATTGCTAGCATCTCAATTTCCTGGATTAAGTATGGACAGCTGAGCAGGCAGGTACGTTTTAAAGTATTTCTGATGATTTCCTGAATAAACTTAATTTACAAACTGTGCAGACAAAAATGTAGGCTTACAATAAATGAAATGTATAACTGTACAAGTGTGTACTCTGTTGGCCAACACACATGTGCTATCAATAGTCATCAAACTATCAATAATTGATAAATTGTAATAAATAGCTAAAATAATCTCCTATTCTTTCTTGCAGCCCAGATATCAACTGCACTGTCAAAAGGAAATTTACTAACTGGTAGTCCTTCTATAGATATCATCATAAGAGCATTTAATGTTGACTCTTTCAACCTGTTTCTCACACATGTCTTTATGCGCTTTAGAGTTGAAAATCCCCTTTCTGGATCAGTTGATGAAACTGGTAGCACACTGTACACCTTTGCCAGTTCATGTAACTGTGGAAATATGTTTAATTTCTCATCCGTTAGTAGATCATGAATGACATCAGGCTGAGAGGTATATAATTTGCTGTTATCAAATATACTATGCTTAAACAATGCCCACTCATGTTTAGCTGACTCTTTATCTATGAATGGGTATTGAGCACAAAGGTTCTCCAGTGCCTCGTTGCCATACTCAGCTAGTTATCAGGAACCAGATGCGGATCAAATATGGAAAACTGGGCCAAAAATCTGCCATCATCTGGGAATCTATCTGTAATATCAAAAATCATAAAATAAGAATAACATTCATTAAAATCATTAGTCTGAGTGAGGTTTTAATAATTTCACCTGATTTAATTACAGTACACTGAGAAGCAGTACCATTGCTATTATTTAAGCTTGTGCTTACCACTGATATTTCCAATGAGTGCATTAAGGAAAGGTACCCTGACTTCTCTGGTGAAGGTATCTGGACTTCCTTATTTATATCAATACTTGCAGCACGCATACTCTCCAACTTCTCGTTCAGCTTTTCAAAATTAGGGCCATCGTTTTCGATCAGTTCATAGAGGCGGGCAGTAGTAGATCTTACAATACTTGGTATGGAACCAACACTGCAATAGCTGGCTTGAAATAACTTTAAATGAAAGTGTGCAAATAGTTTGATATAAATATATGGTAGTTATAAATAAACTCTAAAAATAACTTATTAAATGCAGTACAGTATATTAAATTCAAATTTGCATTGTTTTCCTTGTTTTTGTGTTTAATTTCTGCATGATTCGTTTGATAGCTTTTGTGTGTTTTTTTAGTGTACTTTGGTAAATGTTTAGTAAACAAATAGTGCAAAAATGCTCATACCTTGGAAAGCACAGAGACTGGTGGAAGAACATCACACATCAACAGCATCGTTGCAATAAACTTGTACGATTTAATCATTCTCAACAGCCCTCCAGCCCTGGCATCATTTCTTTCCACAAACTCCCGTTCCAGTGAAACTATTACACTGTTGATACACATATTGAGCTTGTTACACGACCTATCTATGCTAAGCCATCTCGTATCTGCAGCCTTGCATGGTTTTACCTTTGGATCATCCAGGAGCCCCTGAACTGCACGAAGGCCAGCTAGTCGAACTGCTGAGTTTTCATAGAATTCAAATATTTGCCTTAATGTGTCTTTGAATCGTTGCACATAGGGAATTTGTCTGCCAGCTTGCCCTGCAGCAAGGGCTAGTCTGTGTGCACAGCAGTGTATTCCTGTTACGGTAGGGTTGACATCTTGGAGCCTCCTAACAAAGCCATTTCTCTTACCTGTTATTACGGCAGCGCCGTCTGTTCCTGCCGATCGCAGCTTCTTGATGTTGATATTGTTGTCGGCATGAAACTTAATGAAAATATTAAATATGTTCTGTGCATTCACTGATATATTATCTAGTTGCTGGGGTTGCCCAACACGTCAGCAATAGTAAGGTATCTGACTTTGACCTTATTTTCAGGTGTCAGGTACCTACCATACATAATAAGCTGTTCAACAACAGTTACATCTGTTGTCTCATCCAACATGATGCTCTTGTGGTCTGACTGCCTGTATTCTGCTAATATATCCGCTTGTATCACTTCAGCAAGAATATGTACAATCTCCTGGACTGTTCGTTCAGACATGTAGTTTGTTGTGTTTCCAACTTTAATATCAGATCGTATTGGCAGACCCAAGTCCTCTAAAAGTTATAGAATTTTTGGATATTTTGTCGTGTGTGGAATATCTTCTTTACAGAGCCAATAAAGGCACTTGAATGCCGATTTCAGGCTTTCTCTTCTCATTTCTTTTGGGGTGGATAATTTTGCTTCAATGTCGCCCGAAATACAACTCATCTCTTTGGCTTCCTGCAATGTAACCGCATCTGAATGGCACTGAGATGTTATGTGTTCCTTTATCGTCTGTTCTCTCATTCGTACAGCTGGTAAGGTTCGAAATGTTTGTCTGCCCCTGTGCTCGGTTTGTTGTTGCCACGTTTGACATAATCTGCAGTACATCCCTTCGCCTTTAACAAAATAAATAAAAGAATATTTTTGTAGCCACAGAGGATTATAGCCTTTAGCTTGGTTTGCAGGAGGCACCTTCACTGTCGTTTTACGACACTCTGGTCCATGTTGATCAGTAGCTACCAAATCTGAATCTGGGAGTAGTGGTCCACCAGTAATCTGTTCAGCCGCTCCTGGCTCTGAATTTTTCTCGTCCTCTACAGCTCTAGTCACTGTTTTATCTGGTTTAGACCTAACAATACATACAATAAAAATAAAATCAATTTCCATTACAAACTTATGCAATAATCTAATAGCGGAAGAAAAACCTCTTGGGCTAGAAGCTTGCTTAGACAGGCCAAAACAATATATAACATTATTAAAGAAGACAGTGACGCAGACACCCCATATAAATCAAAGGGCCAGGAGGTTATAGGTTACCTACATTCCATTGTAAACAATTTATTGACAAATTATTTTTTCTAGTAAAAAGAAAATATATTTTAAAACAAGTCAGCCAGAACTAAACGGGTGTAAAAATGAATGCTTGTCTTGTCAAAGTTCTTTTCACCACATCGGCAACCGAGCATTGTTGTTTAGAAGTACAACACCATGTGATGTTTTACAAACAAAAAGTAATAATATTAATAACGATGTACTCTGCTGCCACCAGCCTACACACACAGGGACCACACTCTAAAGTCTAATTGCGCGAAGGATACAGTACCTACAAATCGCTAGGAAAATAGTAATTGCTGCATAATTGCATTGGTTATATATTAAAGATCAAAGCCTAATTTTCGGCAAAATCTGAGCAGAAATCGGCCCTCCTTTTGCAAGATGCGCAGACAGGTTTCTAGGCCAAATTATTGCGCGAAGGAAAGGTCTACATTCCGCGTAGGCCATAAACTACTAGGGCCTACTCTAAGCTAGTGATCCTTTTGCCCTAAAAATGCAAAAAGCGCCTGCCAAGAGCATGCCTCGCCTGAAACTGAGATTAAAGAAGGCGCTAATTGATACGGTTTTATTATTATTAATTACAGCATTATCGTAGCCTTTCTACTTTGCATATCACTTGGGTTTTGGACAGTTATAGGTGGTAGGAGCCGCTAATTTAATGTGGTTGTTTTGTAAACGGCTATGAGTATGATGAATGATGGGAGGTCCCATTTTATCTTTTATTCATTCGAACATCGGGGAAATTTAGGCATATTTAATCAAATAAACTAAGAAATTCTCAAAGATAATTTAAACTCGTCATCATTAAATCTCAGTAAACATTACCAACCTTTTCGTAAAAAAACGCCTCCAGTCTGGCTTGGCCAGTTCGTTTCTTCATGATGGATTCCAGAGCGAACAATTCATTGGAAAACTTTTGCGAACGAGAGTCTACCTAAAGCTACAGGAATTTATACAACTCAGACTCTCATTCCAGATGTATTGAAAAACTGCTACAAGTATAATACTACTCCACCAGTTTTCAAATTCGTCTGGATTACGAGTCTATTGCACAAATTCCTGCAGCTTAGGGGAGAGATGAAAGTTTTGCGATGCTTGCTTGTTTTTTAATTTCGAGTCAATCGATCAAAAGTTTGTGAGAGGTCATTCATCGCTGTCTTGTACGTCAACGAACATTATTGTGGTTGTTCATCAAGGTTTGTAAGTTTGGTTGGTGAAACCGGAGATAAATTATAGCTAATGTATGATTCGAGGCCTGAAGAAGGAAGGCCGATCCTATACTAAGCTTGGCCTCGGGCTAGGCCTAATTCAGTGGTATTTTTTTTTTAAACCTACAAAATTTTTACCGGTCGGCCGTTTATTTTTACCGGTAAAATTGACGGCTAAACTGGCGTCTGGAGAACACTGGGTTATGCAGTGAAATGAAAGTTACAAAATCGTGAGAGAATAATTTAAATCTGACACTTTTTTATGTTTAAAGAAGTACTTTAGAAATCGGCTTTCAAAGTTTACGATTTCAGACATTTCTCAGGCAGAGACCTTCACTAAATCATTAAAAAATAGTGTTTTAAACTATCAAAAATGGAGAAAATAACAACAAAGTAAGATGTATAGTTACATAAAGTTGTGCAACAAAATGGATTTCGAAAATGTTGACATTCCAAAATGCTTTGGCAATTATCTCTAAAACATGATATGCAAAGAATGACTGGTTTGGGTTGTCTTCGCCACATATGCTGATTGACAACCTACCTCTAACACGTAGCAGAATATCATGAGATGTGGCATTAGTATATTCATGAGTTGCTTCACATGTATAAGTACGACGAGTCGTAACATCTTCAATCTTGAGTGTTGATGTACGAGTAAAAATATCATCATTGGGATCTTTAGTGCCATCAGTAGCACTGTAATTGAATTTTTGTCCATCTCTTTTCCAGAATATGTTTGGCATTGGGGATGATCTTGCCTCGCAGACCAACTCAGCATTCTTGCCTTCTGTCACTTTCACAGAATGATCAGCAGTAATATCAATTCTTGCTGCATATTACAAAAGCAAAATCAAGTTAAAAATATTTTGCCTGAGTTACAGCTAAAGATAAATCTGATAAAAAATCTGATCTTTGCAACTGAAACTGCAGCCTTACCCTCGAGGAAATCACCAGTCGAATTCAGTCAACTATTTTTCTGAGTGCTGCAGCATACCCTCAAAATATTAATGAATTATTTTCCTGAGTGCTGTCTGAATACGAAGGGCAATTTCATTAATTTTTTACTGTATGTTTGAGGGTAAAAAAAACAACAAATTTCTGTAACTTTGATCTATTTTTTACAAAAATAGAATGGTCTTTTTCTTTGATTAGTATTATGTACCATTCCACTAAATTTTATGATCCATTCGTCAGTTTTTCCTTGCAAACAGACTAACAGACCAACATAACCTCATTTGGCGGACGTAAAAATACAGTAATTACTAATATAGATTTCACTGAAGTGAAACTGAAAACTCATAATATGAGTTTTAAAGAAAAAAATCACTACTTACTCCACAAAACAACACTTTTAGGAGATTCTGAGTTCAGTGCTGAGCACATATAGGTACCTGCTTGTTGGATGTTGGCATCTTTGATTGTCAATTTTCCACCATTTACATTGACAACCTCATCACCTTCACTCACATGATTATCTCCTGAATTTAAGGTAGCATCACCTTTCATCCAAATTGGTTGTTTATCTGGTTGATCTATTGTACAAGTTAATACAATATCTTCACCATACTTTAACTCTGCGTCGCCCTCAGGATCCAATGTGATCTTTACATCTACAATTAACAAAATACATAACATGCAACATATCACAGTCAATCGCTATGTTACAGGGTTCCCAAGTTGGAAGAAGTCACTTCCTGGGAGATCTGGTTAAATGAGCTTTCTTAACACATTAACTATATTTTACTGGCACTGGCGATACCCATCAGCACTGTTTTCCGTAAGACAGTTGATAAAAAAGTAGGAAAAACATGCAAATGTTATAAATTTGCAGGAAATTCTTGCTTGCTTGGAAGACAGTTAGGATATCGGGGAGACTCCCATGACTTGCGGAAGACTTGCGGGGTCTATGGGTTGCCTAATAGGCCCAATGGGATAAAGCAGACACCTAGATGCCCAAGTGGAAATCTGAATGTGAAGGTGCAGTCTAATTTTTTAGAAACATCTCACAGAATTACAAACCTCCCAATTATGAACCCCCATACAGTACTAAATCTCTATTTTACGAACCCAATGTGTGGTGATGCCATCATTAAAGGAGGAGAGAGAGGAGGGAAGGAGGAGGGAATGGAAGTATTTAAGCAGTTTTGAGTTACAGTAGTTTTAAGTTTTAGTTGTTCTTGCAACTTGATATATCTTGTACTCATTTGTCTTTAAGTTTTGTGTTTCGGACGCACCTTTGTTTTTCAAAGTGTGCTACTGATGTAAAAGTGCAAATCCAAATAATAATAATAATAATAGTAATAACAATAAATAATAATAATAATAATAATAATAATAATAATAATTATTATTATTATTATTATTATTATTATTATTATCTTTTCTAACTAGCAGAAACATTTAAACATGCCTTTAGAAAAACCTTGAAAATGTATAAAGTTGCATACATATGTCAACATAAAACTGTGTTTAAAAAAACTGCAATGAGATACAAATGCTGTTCAGACAGATGTTTATCCTCCTTCTAATCAATTTTCCATCCTAGTGGGACCTAAGTCTCACCTGACCTTTTCTCAGCAATGATGCAGTGCAGTAAGTAGTAAAAGTAGCAGTTTTTTAGTATGACAGTATAAAGACAAAATGCATCATTTTTACCTGCAAACACATTTTCAATTTTATGTTCAAAGCCATCTCCATTACTTGACCGGCAGAAGTAGACCCCAACATCATCTTCCTGGATACTTATGATGGTCAGCGTACTTTTAGAATTACCTGAACTTCCATCAAAATCAGATTGAATATTATAGTCTGCACCATTTCCAAGACCTTGACTCTTCTCACAACTTGCATGAAAACACCACCAAATAGTTTCAGTGCTGGCAGACTCTGTGCATGTACATACCAATTGGGGATCATCACCCTCTGGATAGCGTTCTTTACCTTCTATTAAACATTGGCTCACTGAGGGAAAAATGCCAGTCTAGATTAATTGTAGAATATTAACATTTTTTTTAAATATTAAAGTATTTATAGAAATAAACACCTTGCATTGTTTACATATTTCATGTATCTAGGTAGGCTATTTAATAATCCAATATTAAATGGATATGACTTTGGCCCATATGTGTTCAAGAGATATTAGTAAAATTACAAACACTTTTTTAGAATGCACTGTATGCCACAAATACTGTATACAAGTGCCTACCAGAGTCTACGTAGACACAACACAACACAACGACAACACAAGGCTCCATACACACATTGTAAATGATATGCATACATGATACAGTCAGCCCTCAAAATTAGGAAAAAAGTATGTCGGCAAAAAAAAGTGAAAATCGCAGGCGCTATGAAATTGACGCCGGTTATAGCAGTGATGGATGTCTTTTCAAGTCACCCAATCAACCTGGAAAGCCTAGCCTACGTACTGATTCAAATTCACAACTAATTATTGATAAAATGTTGAACAATGTTTATGTTATGATGATGAATAACAAAAAAATATAGTGGAATCTCCGAATTCCGAATGACCACAAAACCAAATTTCACACTAAACCAAAAGTTTTTTAAAGTCTCAAAACCATTCCTATTCTCCCTTTAATAAAATACTTTCCGAAAACTGAATCTTCCTATTCTGAATTCCGGACGTTTTTTATTCGGTGTGGAACATAGAAATCAAAATTCAAACCCAATAAACAGTTAATAAACAACAATTTCCAGACGAAATAAAGGAATTATAACTGTCTGTTAATCAACAACTGGGCCTAGAACACCACCCTGTGAATGAACCGCCGTACAGTTAGCTCAGTTCAAATATCGTTGTCATAGAGATTATCTATTGATTAAAACGACAACAGTAGACCTAAATGTTAAATGTTACATAAATTGAAAGTTACCCCTTCCATTGTGCATTGCAATCAACCTGAAATTCTGACGGAACTCAAAGAAAGTTTCTACGATGGCTGGCTCTTTTTCAGTAGACATTTAATTCAGATTTGGATGTTATAGGTTCATCAGTGTAAATTACAATGCATTGCTTCACTCATTCCTCAACAACATGTTGCTAATTACGGAGGAAATTTGAAGAGAATGAAATTTACATTTTTAAGAATAATTTAGATTTGACTGTAAAAAAAAACAATGAGGGTTTCTTATTTGTTTTAATAAATTTGTTTAATTAAAAATTAATCGATTTACAGCTTGTTCCTGTCTACAAGCTATTACACACTATGAAACTTTGGGCGATCTGACGCATGAAACACAAAACCCAGTTTGATCTTATTCACATTTTACTCATAATACAACTTAAAAGACATTAAATAACCTGCTTTCATTAAAAATAAAGTTTAATTGGTTTAATATTGTGTTCACGGCGACCCTGCTGAGTCTACCACCACTGGTACCAGCGTAGGCCTGGGTTAGCTTGTGGGCTAGGCCTAAAATCTTCCCGTCAGCGACAGGTGTTAAAAGCTACATATGGCCATAGGAACTACATCAAGGTACACTCCAGACAGGCACAGGGACTACATAAAGTCTATGAAGACCTAGGCATGGAAAATCGAGACTCTGTATGCCAATGTTACATACAGAAAACTTTATTTTTGTACATAGTAGGCCTACTATACTGTACAGTAGAGCTAGCGTAAGCATATTACCAACAAATTATAAGTCAATGACATTTCATTCATAAACAAGAACCATCTTTTTGTATAATTTATGGTCTGAAATTGAAGATACCGTAATTAAAAATTTCCCTCATTCTGACAAGTACTGTACAGGCAGCTGCTCAGGTGTTTTAAAAAATACCTTTATGGAGACTTACTCTACATGTAATTTAATTTAGGCATGAACATATGGATAATTTTTCATTCCTAATGATGACATAATTAATGTTGAAATATTGAATTTCGACACAATGCCGTGAATTTCAATACTTAGAGTATGAAATATACTATCTAATTTAATTCATTATTCAAATTTACAAAATTATCCATGAGCACAACCACACATAACTTGACACAATAATAAATAATCTTTATTTTGAAGTCAATCATGTTGTTATCTTCTGGGGAGGAGTTGGATAAAGCTGTTTGACAGAAGGTCTGACAATATTTAATGAAGATAAGGTGACAAAGCCCTGGTGGAGGGCAATGGAGGCACTACTATGGGCAATTTTGGAAATGTTAAGCACACAAACTTTTCTAGGTTCATCTTGTGGCCGACATGTTGTGGATTAAATTAGGATATATCTAATAAAGTCCGCCCTCCAATTCGAGACCCCTCTAATTCCGAGACCCCTCTAATTTGCGATCAAGCCCACCTTTATGAAAGTACCAAGTGACAAAATGACCTCCAATTGAAGACCAGATTTAAAAATAAAATCAAACAGATTCAAGTTTTTTTAACAATAAAAATAAGTGGATATCCAGCCCCATAGCCGAATAGGGAGTGGGAGGAGCAGCGTAGCCAGGTACAAAAGGACCCCAGTTTAAGATCAATTGCCGAGCCCTTTGATGTGATAGGGGAATTCCCTAATTCAATTTATCGTAAGAAGTGCATGTTTTACCACTTACTCCTAAAGGCCTGGTTAGAAATAAATACTATTGATAATTGCATTCGGAACTGTTTTAGGAGGGGCAAATTAAAAATTGGTGGCACGTAAATTTAAACAATTTCAGTGGCGGAGCAGCGAATTCGAGTAGAGGGGTCAGGGAGGGATTTTCACAGGTGAAAAAAATTCAACTCAATAATCGCATTCGTAACTGTTTTAAGAGGGGCAAATTCGGTCTCAGCAGCTGTTCTAATCCAATTTTTTTTAAATTGGTGGCACGTAAATTTAAACAATTTCAGTGGCGGAGCAGGGAATTCCAGTAGAGGGGTCAGGGAGGGATTTTCACAGGTGAAAAAAACTCAACTCAACTCTTAAAAAATTTAGTTATTTCCGATTATGTTACAATATGTGTAGTTTTCAACATAGTATCTAACCATAAAGGAGCTGAGAACCAAAGCTGAAATTTGGTGTATAAGTATATCTAATAATCTGGTTAACTGGTGTAAATTTAAGAAAAGATTTTAACTGTCCACATGACGAACCGTTAATGGGAAACATAGGATATTTTCACTTTTGTAGGGCTGGTCCCAACTTTGAATGGATGACATTCCATTTTAATTCATTTGATCAGCCTGTGCTTGCTTGTGGCTAGAAGCAAATACCCATAGATAATATATCTGTAATTTAAGATGTATACACTCACTCATACACAGGGTTGACATTGAAAATCACAAAAAAATTGTGTCGTTAAACAAAGTGGCTATTTTGAGTGCAGATAACTTAAAAAAAGAAGGGATAACAGTTCAAGGCCAAGTGCGGGTTTAAAATAAGTCGTCATATATTGCTTATTTAACCTTTTTTGAGTTCGGAAAAAAATACAAAAAAAATTCAAAAATGTTAGATGTAACGACAATTACAGAAATATGATGAGAAATCAAAATCAGGTGAAAATGAGGCTGATCACTTTTTTCAGGGGCTTGGTAGCAACTTTTTAACCAACTCATTAATAATCATGACCAGTCTGTCAATTTTGGCGAGCAGCTGATCGAGGAATCGCCCCGACGATGATCGAGCGACTAGCAGCCTCGACAATACATACATACAGTTTTAGTGAGAAGTCGTGAGTTTTTGTGATCGTTTACGTACGCAGTAACAGAGAGAGGATTTAGTCGACGTCAGTTCAATAATGGAGGAATAATTCAATTGAATTAATATCAGTTTGTTGATAGTTAGGCCTACACCTATGGCTATGCCTAGGATTAATTACACAGTCAATATCTACCCAGCACCAGCGTCAGTACTGCCGTCCCGCGCGCAACAGGTGAGTTCTCATGCAGCCTATCCAGCTGAAGCTGACGGTAAAGTTATTACCGTAGGTTTCTACTAGACTACTACTACTTATATTAATAGGCCTAGCTAGGCCGGACTGTCACAATAGGCCCTATTTAAAAAGGCTGGGTAAAGGCCTAGAATATCGTTGTATAGGCCCTAGACTTTTCATGCCATGGCAACATTGTCACATTGTGCAAGTGCATTTTTTTACTTCATAGAAAAATAGGCCTTCCTAGGTAGGCCTACTACTAAATAATACGACTAGGCAGGCCTGGTCCTATGAAAAACTGTCAGGCCTAAATGTTAAAACTGCAGTCTAAATAATGGTAATGTGCTATATAATACTTTTTTTTTTTTTTTTTTGTAGGACTACAATATAGGTGATAGGCATACATCACACCCTGGTCACATGGTATTTGACAATTCCCATGATGAGACAGAAATACCCCAACATTTGCTATAAGTACAACCACCCAACCTGCACCCAAAACTGGCATCTAGTGAAACATGTACAAAAGATGGTGGTACAAAGCATACAAGCACCCAGCAAGACCTTGGCAAGAAACACTCCGGTCGTCTACTGAAACTTGTATTGGAAGCTACACACAATGTAACGCGAGCAATAGAAAATTGGGTGAATATCTCATCATTATTCAGCCAGAGTACATGAAGCATATTGGCATGGTAAAAAAATATCAGCATTAGTGGATTTTTAAAGAAACATTATAATGTCTGATTTTTTTTTGTACCAATATTTCTACAACATTAATACATTACAAACTAGCAGACAGGAAGTTTTTACGCATCTGGTTTATATTGCAGCACTGTATTACAATGTGCATGCCAAATTTATAATATATAAATAATATTTTTAGAAGTTTTAGAAGTGTTACTTGCAAAATATCTTTAATACTAATCAATGTTATTATAAGTTTCTTGTTTTAAAACCGTGTAATCCCATTCAATAGTAATACTTTTGGAGCAAATATGTGACCCAGAGGTGACGGAACTAGGGGGTGCTGTGTTATGGAGAGTAATGTGTGACCGGAAATGGTCTGCAGTCAGTTGGTTGTTACCATGCGCCAGTGATGTTGGAG